TTGTTTTCAAAATAAAGACATTCATGTTTATGTGAAATAACACATTGATTCTAATTGTGGTGTGAAACCTACAATACAGCTTTGCACACAGCCTTACCTGGTAGTAAATGATGTAGTTTTTCAAAATATTGCCTGTATCTCATCAAGTGATGCCGCTTTTCTTCTTTTGGTATGTCATTTCTCAAATTAACTTTTTCAAGCTCCTTGGCTGAAATGAGGAATTCACATTTAACTTTTATATGAAAGTAATTTACATGCACATTAGAATAAAAAAAAAACATTTCTATATAATTCCTATTATATTTTTTAATTTAAAAGTAACTCAATTTTATTAAGCATTCTTACTAGCATTTTACCTTCATAAAACAAAGTTTCAATTTCTGTCGCTGCTTGTTTCTTTTGTATTCCTATTGCTACAGTGTCTCCAATGTTCAAAGTACTGTGATAGAATGATTCTGGCTGAGAAAGAGAACAGTCAGAGCATGTTACATATCTGGTTCTGGAATGACAGAAATGCTGGATTTTGCTGAACGTTTAACAATAAAAAGACTGCCATTCATCTACCTTGAATCTTATCACCAAACAAATGCATGACGATGTATTATGTATATATATTGCCCGGAGGTCCGACTTAAAGAATGATCTGGTACGTATGTATGTGAAAGAAAACGCATTAAAAGGGTGTTTTTTTAAAGAAAAGCACGTTAACATGCGTTACGTGTTAGGGTTACCATTTCAGTCAAAATAAACAAAAAGGGTGTTTTTTCCTGAACGTGATAAGGGTGATTATTTTTTAAATGAGATTAGTTTTTTTTTTATTGCTTCAAGGAGTTCAATGATCGCAAAAACAAGGGAATTGTCCGGCCCCCTGGTTAACGGCCCCCCGATCACGGGCGAGCATGGCATATGACCAACCTGTGCTTACACTGAAGGGTTAGAAAGCTCAAATATCGCGAGATCAGGCGCAAGTTCAAGGTGCATGATCTTTTAGCTTTCTAACAGTGAAAAGGGTCATTTTGAAAACCCCTTTCACAGACATGGGTTCCAGGTATTTCCACAAGTCAGACTCCCGGATATATTGTTTGAAAATGATCCGTCAAGGCATGTCATAGCTTTGGAACTGCAATCAGTGAAACAAAAATATTCACCAGTGGGCCATTTAGAATCCAAACTGGAAAACAAAATGAAGTGCATTTGGACTTTCATTTACACTTCCTAAATTAATGTACATTCAAATATTCCACAGCACTCAGGTGAATAAAATAATATTGCAATAATGCCATATGACATCCAATCTGAGGTGACATGTAAT